AATGACAGGGATAGATGGTAAGATTTGTACTTAGTGGCATAAAGTTACTAATTGCTTTGGTTTTTCTGACTTAGCAATTAATATTATAGTTGAGAATTTCCAGATCGGGGGAATGTATGACAACCTGAGCATTGCGTTGTATATTTGAGTGAGAAGAAGTATGGTTATGTTTGTTAGTTTTTTGAGAATTTTGTTACTAATTAGATCGTACCCTGGAGATTTGTTGTTGCGTAGTTTAGTAATATTTGATTTTATTTCTTATGGTGTAATTGGTTTAGTTGGCAGTGAAATAGGTAGTGGACTGTTAAGAAATGTTTGAACATTTTTTAAGTGTGTCGTTATGTTAGCATTTGTATCTGAGTGGGGTTGGAAAGTTTTTGATAGGTGGTTACTGAATAAATTTGCTTCTTCACTGTCGGTTATGGCTAAAGTATTGTTAGGATTTGTTAAATGGGGGACTAAGTCTTTTCTTTTAGTTCTATTTTTTATTGATTTTCATAAGGAACCATTGACTGGTGTGAGTGATGACAAGAATGAATGAAATTGATTGTTATTGAATGTTTGTAGTTTGTAAGGTGTTTGTTGCCAATTTTTTCTTGCTCGACGTTTTTTATTGATAAATTCTTTTAAATTATGGAGTAAATAAGTATATTGGTGTGGTTTTATTGGTATATTTAAATTTGGTGGTGAAGAGATTGAGTTTGTTATCATTTGATGGTTGTTATGAGGAATTGTGAAGCGCTGTCTATGTCATCACAAGATTTTAATTGGATATTTAATGAAACGTGTTCTTCCAATTTTTTTTTAAATAAATTGAAATTAATTTTTCCAGAGTGTAAAGTGTTGTTAATGTTTTCAGGTTTGCCACCTCGGTGGAGTAGAATTGGGGAGTGATCACTGGATAGTTCTTCGAGGTTTTTTTTATTATTCTTTAATTGGTTTGGTAGCGAAGTTATGAAAAAATATAGTATGTCTGGGTGACGATTTGTGTGGGATGGCCAATAGGTTGGGGCATCAGGTGAAATGAAGGAAAATCGATTATTTAAAATTACGTTTGACCTCTGAGATTAGTTGACCTACAACCAAATGCGATATGCTGTGTATTAAAATAACCGCCGATAATGAATGAATTTTTTAGTGTTCTTAGGAATCTTTGGAGTCGGGGAGGTGTGATTTTTTGACTAGGGGGGGCAGTAAACTAATGATATTGTATTGGGGATATGGTTAAGTACTATTTGAATATTTGTGGCTTGTAAATAGATCTTTGGTATGTCGGTAATGCATAGTGTAATAACATGGAGGATATTAAGATCGCGGTACCGGCATGGGCTGTACCATCGGGTTGATTTGTTTAATGTGTTGTATAACCTGGTATGTTGAAATGTTTCTTTGGTGTTAGGTGAGTTTCTGTAATTAGAGTTATATTTATTTTTTTGTCAAAGAGTAAATGTTGAAGTTCATTTTTATTGTGGGTTATTCCATTCGCGTTCCAGAGTAGTATTGATAACGGAGGAGTTTGATTGTTAACATTTGACATTTTTACTATTAATTTGTCGATGGCTATTGTTAAAAGTGAGATAAGTGGGTTAATAAGGGATTCGTTTAAAAAGGAGGTTAGTTGGGTAGTCATGTATTCGTTTTGTTGGTTTTGGTGTTCGTTATTTGTGTGTATCGGGTTTTTGTTTTGTAGGGTGGCCTGAGAATAGGTTTGGCTGTTATTTGAATTATTTGGGTGTGAGGTACTGTTGAGAATTGGGTTGTACAAGATTGGGCTTATACAATTTGTGTTTTCTTCGGTTATGTTTGTGTTGCTTTTGCTTGGTAGTTGTTATTTTCTAAGTTATTGTAGGTTTTTGAAAACAAGACATCTACGATAATTTGCTGAGTAATTTTCATTACATAACAAATACTTGGCAGGGAGCTCTCGACTTTTGGTACATTTGTCAGTTCTGTGGTTTTTACCGCAACGGACACATTTCGGATGGTTATTGCAGTAAGTTCTGGCGTGACCGTAGTTTTGGCAATTTAAGCATTGTGGTGCTAGTTTGTTGATTCGAGGTGCTTCGATATTGACTTTGGTATAGCATAGAGTTTTGAGCTCGAATGTGTTTTTATTATTTAGTGCTGGTTCTAGATCTACAAAAAAGAGGGGTAGATGTATTTTTGAGACTTTATGGAGAATGTTTGTGACATTTCTCGCTTGAAATCCTTCTTTTTCAGGTTCTTCTTTTATATAATCGGGATTAGTAGTAGGATGTAAATTTCTAATAACAATCCGGTACGGTTTGTTTTCTTTTAATTGATAAGTGAAAAATTCTACTTTAGATTCTTTTAGATATCTAATTATAGTTGACGACTCCAAATTTGCACCTGTAGGAGACGATGCATACTACATAAACGATCCTGTGAAGTATCATCTAGTTCTGTATGCATTTGACGAGGTAGTGTTAAGTTTAAGAGACTCAGTAGAGCTTTTGCAAGTAAAACCGTTGGACGGTTCAATTATATTTTTTATTTTTTCGCAAAAAACTTGATAACTTTGGATTTTTGTTTTAATAAATATTAGTGGAGGTAATTTGAATACGATTTCGTTTATTTCGTTATTTTCCATATCCATGTCTTCATTTTGCGATAGGACTCTGAATTAATTGAATCGCAGACGTTTCGCTCCCACTGTTTCGTCCCGGAGTGTTATTAGCCATAGGACGTTTGGTCCTCGGCATACTTTGATAATCTAAACACATTAATTTTAAATGAACAATTTAATGTTTAAATGACAATATTACAAAATATACAAATACATATTTGTATTATATACGCACTACAACACGAACAAAATGCAACTGTTTACGGTGAGTGTGTATAATTGCGGAAATAGGAAGTATAAAAACTTTTTATCGAATAGGTTTATCTTAAGGGGGCTGGAGTAACTATATTTTTTCATTTGTATTTTAGTCGATGTACGGTGGCACGATAAACGCGATAACGGATTACACACACTTATGTTCATTTACTACTCACACATTAACACAGCAAAAATGTTAATGTGATATAAAATGCCTAAATATTACTCCTTAAAACATGATACGCTCCAGCCCCCTTAATAACTTTTGATATACTAAATATCATACACCTATTTGAAAACCCCATCATTATTATTTGATGTATTAATATAAATTTAAAATTTCAGTTCACAAACCTGTTTGGATGCATAGTGCACGTAAAATATTTATTACTTGCCTATAGCCTATATACTATATTAGACATTACAGAATTGTTCATTAAAAAGAAATGTATTAATTGTTAATAAAATAATGAATTTCGAAAAAATTAATAAATAATAATAATTTAAAAATACTAAGAACCAAATGTCCTTTAATCAAAATATGACGGGGACCAAATGTCCTATGGCTAATAACCCTCTGGGACGAAACGTCTTATCTAAATAATTGCCAGGTACGAAACGTCCGTGGACTGGTTTTTTTGCCGGGGACGAAACGGCGGAGGCGAAACGTCCGTTTACCGAATTTATTACAGGAGGAAAATTGTGTGCTCGTCGTTGTTTTGGTTGTTGTTAATAACGGACTTTGTTTTTCGGAGTTTAAATGTTTTTGAGATTTAGGAGAAACGACCTCAGTCCAGTCGTAATTGAAAACATCATTATTATCGGAGTAGAATGGCTGACTATTATGTGTGTTTTTTCTTTGCACGGTGTTTTAATTAATAATTTTTATTGGGGAGATCGTTTTAGTTATTTTAGTATTCATTTTAATTAGGTGTTGTTACGTAAGTGAAATATACGCAGTTGGGAAGACGGTTGTAATTACATATATGAATTTGAGTAATTAAAATACTTACAAAAAGTCTTGTCTTGGGGTTTTTTTGGTCCCAGATGGACAGTGATTTTCTTTTGTTAAAGAACACTTAAGAAATGTTTTTTTGACACTTATCACAACAAAAACGGTTAAGTATTTAGTTTGATTTTTAATAAAATAGTAATTAACGATTAATTTAGATGCACACATTACGAGTGCGGGACATCGAATGATTTATAAGTTATATTTTAATATTTAAGAATCTCGATTATGGACGAAATAATAAGTGTTATATTATTATTATTTATTTTTTGGGGGGGGGGGGTATAACTAATATGCCCGGGGGTGCCAATTTTTTAAATACGGGCCTGACGGTAATTATTCTTATCTTTTCAAAACACCCCTGAAATTTTTTTTTGCGTCCGCCCTTGAGGTAATGTAATATATAATTAAATAATACTTGATGAATAATCGAGATCGAGTAATGTATTAAAACCTTAAACTCAGTAAGAGGGTATAAGGTTGAGTATAAGGTCTATGATTAACACCATTAAACACCATTAAATGCCATTTTTGTCAGATGTATTTTAGTTTTAACTATCAATAAATTAACATGTGACAAATAAAATAAAATAAATACATCAATTTATTTATTGTATTACAGGCTGTCACTAAAACTGATATTAAATTATCATTTTGAACATTTTTATCGGTTGGTATGAGTTGTAACATTTAATTTTAATTACATTTTTTCCTATTATTTGTAGAAGAACGGAATTTTGCCCTCTTAAATCATTAGGAAATATAATTTACAATAATAGAATTTCACGACAATTAAAGCACATTAAATGATCAAACTTTTTATAATGCATGTTTTACATTTCAGTTGGTATTTTATATATCACAACGCTTTTTATTTTTTTGTTATCATCATTAAAATAAACCGATAAGCTTATATTTGTTGTTGTTGGTTAATTTGATTGATAAATATTGAGAATTATATTAATTTAGGTATATTGTATACATAGTTTGTATATTGTTATTTCTCATAAAATATTACCTATAGTAATTATTATTTGCAAACTATTTCGATGGCTTTCGTGAAAATGTTTTAAATATTAAACATAATTTTTTAATTTTTGATTTGAGAAATTATTTTTTGCCAATTAGGTATAAATTTTAAAGATGAATGGTGAAATGAATAACAATGAAATAGCGTTGCCGTTCTATTACCAGCAAATTATTCAAGCAATCAATATTGAACCATATTTGAATCATGTGGAAAACATTTTCAAAACACCTCTTGGGTATGTATTATGAAATGTATGATAAGTGTTTTGTTAAAAATTAAAAATGTATTTGTAATTAGTTTCTTCTATCTATATTAGATAATATAGTTTATATAGTTATAGGTAAGAGTTATATTCATTATAACATAAATTATCTTAGTATAATATTTTTGTGTAAGAATATGAGAAAATTCAATCATAATTTGTTTATATCAAATTTTAGTGAAGATTCAAGTGATACAGATTTAGATGGTGATTTTAGTGATCTTGAAACGCCAGAAGGTTAGTTTTCTATTTCTAATTTGATAAATAATATGAAATTAAATTTGTATTTGAATATTTATTTATTATATTTATTCTAGATCGAATTGTTGACCGTTCTCGTTTTTACAATCTATCAAATGTTGGTGACGATCGGTTATGGTTACAAAATCTTCTCTTGGATAATAATGATTCAGATGATTCTGACGATACTGTAACAGAAGAAGATCTAAAAAATATGTTAAGACATCATTTATTTAGAAAAAAATGTCAACAACAATTTTTTGCTACTAAAAATGTAATTTTATTTATTTTGAATATTAGTGAATTTTATAGTGTTTCATCTTGAATTATTTATAAAATGTACTTATGTATTCAGACATAGTAACTTATCAATAGATATATTATTTTACAGAAAAATTGCTGTAAGTATTATAGTTCTGGTTTATTATCTAATTTTGATAAATATCAAACTAGAACAGAAAAGAAAAATGTACAAAAGTCTAAAGCATCTACTATTAAACATAAACACAAGGTAAAACAATATACTTATTTACTATTCAGTTACAGTTATAAATATAATACATATTTTATTTAAAAATCATTATTTATGTACATAGAATTCTGATAATGATAAAAAACTTACAAAAAGAAAAACACGATCATTAAGTCCTACAGCCAAAACATTAAAACTTGAAAAGAAAAAAGCTCTATTAGAAGCTAAAACAGCTCAAGTTATATTTATGAAAAGAAAGAAATTATGGTTACATATGTCTAAAAAAGAAATGGGAAAGGTAATAACTAGAAAAAAATGTAACAAAATATTGAACGTGTGCAGTTTTTTAAACATTTTTTTTAAAAATCATTTACTTTTAGGTCCATAGAATGAAAAATAATAATCATAAAGAAATATTAATAACATGTCGTCGAACTGCACAGTCTTGTATGAAGCATTTACGTCAAAAAGCTATTCAAGTAATATTTATTTAATTTAATTTAAATTTTAATAAATTTAAACAATTTTTAGAGTCAAAAAAATATGAAAGAAAATGTTTGGCGTGCAAAACGTTTAACTAGAGAAATGTTATCATATTGGAAACGGTATGATCGTAATGAACGTGAAACACGTAAAAAACAAGAAAAAGAAGCTGAAGAACAAAGAAAAATGGATGTAGAGCTAATGGAAGTAAATGCAAATTTTATTTTTAAATATTTGTTTATTATTCGATTTCTATACATTTTATAATAATCTCATATTATTTTCATTTACATTATAATAGGCCAAACGTCAACAAAGAAAATTAAATTTCTTAATCACTCAAACTGAGTTGTATGCACATTTTATGTCAAAAAAACTTGGGCAAAGTTCTGCTGAAGAACAGCTTCGAATTTTAAATCAATTAGATGAAGAAAAAATACCTAGATTGATGCATATTGAAAATTATAATAGGTATAATATGACTTATAAGAACTAACGATATTATTGTCGTATGCAGGCTACCGCGTATTTCTACTTGTCATATGCGGTCTATTATGCATGCTTATATAAAAATATGCATCAATGTTCTATGATTTGTAGGTAAATAAATTAGTGCATTACAATATAATATGTCAATAGGTATGTATTAAAAACTAAAAGTTTCAGTTTGTTCTTTTCTTTTTTTGCTAGTACAGAATTTAGTATAGAAGCTACAGTAAACTCAAGGAGGAGTGTCAATTTCAATAAGTCCTGTTTTCTTAAAAATAGCTATGATATTTTCCTCCAATTGAACGATTGAATATAAATATTTGGCTAACATAATGCGTAAAGTGTTTTAACTGTAGAATAATGTATCACGTATAGCAGCATGAACTAAACTGTAACTGATTTTCTCATATGTTTACGATTAGGCTTGGTTCACATGGACCGGTATTGTTAACCAGTTAGCATGCCACAAAACGCGCGTATGACCGTTCATATGGATACGAGTCACGCACGTTGTATGGGAATGTTCTAGTCAAAAACTATATTACTTAGTACAGTTCAGACTGTCATCAAGAATGGATGGGATAAATGCTGTGTGTTTATGGGCCGTCCACGAAAGGATGAGAAGACGCAGACAAATGAGGGAAAAGAAATATTGGGTTCATCCTATTTTAAAAACAAGACTTTCTTTTAGTCTTTATGTCACATTCAAATTTTTCTTTTTCTCTTCTGAATCCTCAAGGCCACCAAAAATAAGCACTAACTTTTCCCAATTTCTTTTTATGGTTCGGTTTGATTACTCATGCGTTGTCATGTCCCATATGGCAGGCTTTTTTTCTATTTCATTAATTAAGGTATCTATTTCAATTTCCATATTTAAAAAAACACCTGTTTTCAAAAACTTTAGATTAAAATTCGATTATTCGCATTGAAACGCGCGTGTTTGCGTGGAAATAAAAACTTGCGTCGTTATCGTGGTCGACGTGCGTACATGCGCCATGTGAACGATGATTTGGAAACCTGTATATATATAGATACGCGCGATCAACCGACGCGTGTCCATGTGATTCTAGCCTAAAGCCGGGCGCACATTGAGACGCAGGACAGCGCAACGTAGTTTTCTGTAATCTATTAGAACGTACTAGCGCATATTGGGAGGCAGGACAGGGCAGAGCAGTGCTGTGTCTATGTTGGCCTGCATCATGTAGTGCTCGCGACACAGATTACTGCACACGTGCCACACGCGTTTGGAATATTTTCCAGTTACGCCGGCTTAACATAATTTCTACCTTTTTGATTATGATTCAATACTTTATTTTTTATTTTAATTTTATTACGGAAGAGTTTGTGATTGAAGCCGTCTAACATTACATTGTCTTACATGACACTAGTCATATCAACTATATGAAGACAAAATTAAAAAATTACTTTTCCACAATTTTTTTACGTGTATTTAATGTAAATAATAAAAAAAAAAATTTATCAGATTTATCCGTCAGAAACTGATTCAGAACTTAAAATGTATTAAATTGTCTGCCATAATTTCGTTCATGTAGTTCCGGATTACCTATTAGGCGGAGTAGGTGCCCGCCTTAGGGCCTCATTCATTTAAGGGGCCCTGTGAAAACGGAAAAATATTTTTTTTTTAATGTAGTGATACCTTTATTTTTTTTATGAATTTACGGGACAAAAGTCATTATGAAATATATTATATATCAAGTTGTAGGTACTATATGCAGTAATAATAATAAAATTGTTTTGAAAAGAATAAAAATAATATAATAATTAGTTAATTTTTCTTGCAAATAAAAAAAATTTAATAAACATGATTTTATTTATTAATAATAGTTGGTTATTATTAAAGCTGTTTATTTTAAATATTGGATAGTAATTTTAAAGTATATAAAAAATAATTTTGTAAATAATTTTAATTGCCTAGGGGCTCACAAATGTTTAATCCGTCACTGCGCTCATGACTAAGTGAACGGTGGCACAGAACTGTGTAGTAATATGCACTCACATAGATCACACAGTATTTCCTGCGCTGCGCTGTCCTACACTGCTGGGTCACCTGCGTCTCAATGTGTGCTTGGCCTAACAGTCACGATCATTGTTAAACTTTATTATTGAAGTTAAATCGTTAAGATAATACTTAATTGCCGTCGAATCAATAAGAATGACCTAAATTATTTTTATATTTAGATGTACGGCAGATGACAGGTTTGCGGTATACTACTTATAGTGTATAGAAACATGCATGGTAGACAGCATACGACAAAAATACCAAATTAATTATATTCAATTAAATAAATTATTTAGTTTTTAAATAATATTAATTTCTAAAAAATTAACACCTATATATTTTATTAGTTTTTTATAATATTAATTAAATTAAAAAATAATGTATATTTAAGAACTTGAAATATTTAGAGGAATGTTAATATTTTATTTATTCTTATTATTTATCTATGTTATGTTATTAAATACAAATAAATTTAAACAAATTTATTTATTTATTGTTCATAAATTATATTTTTGTTTTTATTCATAATCAGTGAAGTGTATAAAGATAAAGCATTACAAAACACTCAAAAAGCATTAGATGCTCAGATACGACAATCAAATGAATTCGATGATCCAGATTTTAAAATTAATACACCTCCTCCTAATGAAGAAAGACCACAGCCAACAATATTTCAAGGGAGTTTGAAACATTATCAATTAAAAGGAATGAATTGGCTTGCAAATCTTTATGATCAAGTAAAATTTTTTAAAATCTTAAAAAAATTAAATTTTACTACGAAGAATAAGTTTAAATATTTAAACATTTTAGGGAATAAATGGAATTTTAGCAGACGAAATGGGATTAGGGAAGACAGTACAATCAATTGCATTTTTATGTCATATTGCTGAAACATATCGTAATTTATTCAAATATCTAATAATTTGAATTTTGTTATTTTAAATATCATTATATATTGTATAACAGTGGTGTATTTTTGGAAGGGTTCTTGGGTCTCGACTTCTCTTTTCCCAGAAAAAAAAAGTTCAAAAAGTCATAATTACTATTTATATAAATTACTTATTTCAGAGGTATAGAGAAAGATAACAATAATATTTATCACGTTGTTGTAAGTAATTCTTCATTTGTATTTATATAGAATAATATAATTATTAATTCATACCTTATAAGTATTTTTATCATATTATAAAATCACTTGTTTTTTAGAAAAACTTAAAAATTCCCTCACAACAAATTTGAAAAAATGACACTGTTGTATAATATAATGTATAAATATTACTAAAGAATAATTACAAAAAGTTGTTTTATTTAATTAGTTGTATTGTATAATAGCTTTTCATATACGAGATATGATACATATAGACATGTATTTATTTCTGTATGTACTAGAATAAGATTATTATGCTCATAAATTAGCCATTTTGATTACCAATATAAATATTGTTTATATGTTAATTAATGTAAAATTAATATTTTGATATAGGTGTATGGGGCCCATTTTTAATTGTATCTCCATCATCTACTCTTCACAATTGGCAGCAAGAAATAGCAAGGTTTGTTCCTGCTTTTAAAGTTGTTCCATATTGGGGAAATCCACAGGTACCTTTATCTTAATTATAAAGAATAATAGTGATACATAATTTTACAAGGTTATATATATTAATAAATGAAAACCAAATTATTTAGGAAAGAAAAATTTTAAGGCAATTCTGGGATCAAAAAGGCTTACATACTCAAGAAGCTAGTTTTCATGTTGTTATAACAAGTTACCAACTTATAGTGAGCGATTTTAAATACTTTAATCGAATAAAATGGCAATATTTGGTTCTTGATGAAGCCCAAGCTATAAAAAGTACTAATAGGTATTGTAGAGTTTAATTTACTTAACTATAGGGATGAGAACTTATAGGAAAAAATATCTATACTATTTGTATTTTAATACACATAAAAAAGTTAAAATGAATATTAAAAATGCATTTGAAAAATGTAATATGTTAAAAATAATAATCAGCTTGCTACTTTAAGAAAATTATAATCATTTTTTTCAGTACATACTTAAAAAATTTGAATTAAAATTTATATTTCATTTAATATTATTAAAAACTATTAAAATGTATATATTTAATTGTATATAAATGTAGCCATGTACTTAGTCTGGATTTAAATACTGTCAGTACTACCCTAACAAACGTTATTCAAGAACAACACATCGCACAAAAATTTCATAAATATATATCAGTAGTTTAACTAATTACAATTCAGACCATTTATAAATTATTCAAAATCTCCCCCCTACTTCTTCAATACAATGACATAAAAGTTCTAGCCACTATTCAATAAATGTACCAAGTGTTTCTAATGGAATTTCCGCTGCTGCATTCACAATACTTAGTTTTAGTGATTCCAAATTTCTGTTGTTCTTTATATGCTCTCTCTATCTCTTTTAAAATGCTCCATAAATCATAATCTAGCTAGTTCAAATTCAGGCTTGTGGAAGGCCAATCTAAAATGTCTTAATGAAATTCGGAAAATTATTTTCAAGCCACTTTTGTGTTTTTGCTATATGGCCAGATGCCGAATTCTGTTGAAATCCCCAATCAATTCCTTTAAAAAATGTATTGTAAAGTGGGTTTAATATAGGGTCTATGACAGTTGTCAGATAAATGTGAGATCTAGTTTCAACCTCTCTCTAACAGAAATAGATCTATGTTACACCATGCCATGACATTCCTAAAAAGTTATTACTTGAGCAGGATGATGACCTTGTTAAAACCTTCTATTTTGCCTCTAATATAGACCTATCATATACCTTATCATTTTGTTTGTTATATTTTTCCTCTACAGTAAATTAAATTTTTTTGACTGTACAGGTTTCTTGACTTTTTTGATATTTTAGATTTTATTACCTTTAATTGATCCTTCAATAAATGACTCCCACTTATTTTATATGTACGTACACCTAAGTCATCTCGTAATAAGCAAAAGAACAATTGTGTATTGATTTTCATCTCTTGAGCTACGATTTTATGTTTTTGTTGAGGGTAAATTTTCCTCAATTACATAGTACCAACAGCATTTATATATAGACTAAGTATTTTTTATATTTTTATCAAAAATATTAAACATATTAATGCTATTAGTGATTTATATTGATTTATATTTTCATTCAGTTAAATATGATTTAAAAATAAATAAATAATTACTTTAAATTTAAAAATAATTTTTGATTGTTTTTTGTCTTTTGTTATTAAATTTTTACTTAAATTTAGTGTATCAGAAATGTATCAGAATTTAACAATTAGCATGTATAATCATTTTTTTAAGAAAACACTAATTTATGAAACATTTATATAAATAATTTAAACACTTATTAGATCGTAAAGCTGATATTTAGCTTATATAGCTATAATTATAACACACATAGAAATATTCAAAGCTATTAATTCTCATCTATTATTAATGATATCATTATTTTTCAATTGTTATTGAATGTTTCAGTGTTCGTTGGAAATTACTATTAACGTTTAGGTGTCGAAATCGTTTGTTATTAACTGGTACACCAGTACAAAATAGTATGGCAGAACTTTGGGCTTTGTTACATTTTATTATGCCGACCATGTTTGATTCCCATGACGAATTTACTGAATGGTTTTCTAAGGATATTGAAAGTCATGCAGAAAACAAAACAGGCATTGATGAAAGTAAGAATTAAATGCAGTTAACATTTTTTAAAACACTCTTCAAAATATAAGCCTAAAAGAGTGTTTTAAGTAATAAAGCTTTTTATATGTGAATTGAAAAACCTTTAAGTGCATAAAATACTAAGTTTATTGTTCAAAAAATGTAAGTATAATATAAATTTTTACATGTTATATCAAAAAAGGTATTAAGCAAGTATTACATTCATCTTATGTGGTTCGTAAGTATTTTTTTTTTTTATTGGTTTTTTATTGGTTAGTTTATTTTATTTTTTAAGCATCATCTACATAGATTATTGTATATTGCTTATTATATTATTTCACTGGCAAGACTATTTAATGCATTTCTCGCTGATTTATCTGCCTCCTTATTTCCTTTTATGTTGCCATGACCTGGGGTCAGACGTGGATTCAGCCTAGCATAACAGTAGGGGCGGATTATAAAGAAGTATACTCTATGAGTCGGCTGATGGTTGTTGTCGATCATACGGTCACAATAATATTTTTCTTATCGACTATTCATTAATTTATGTTATAAAAATAAAAGACGAAAATGTGTGATAATAACAATACTTTAGAATGTTATTACGCAAAATAATGCAGTTTAATAGTACATCAAATTAAATTAACACATTTTGATACGGCCAACGGGGAGAGGGCGATCGCCCCTATCCCCCCACTTGGATCCGCGCCTGCCTGGGGTCCAAATGAATCTAATGTCTTTGTTTGATGAGGAAAGAAGGTTACTAATTTTGCTAATGGCTCAGTTAGTATTTTGGATTGCAGATTAGTCGGAACATATATCTATTTTTGTATCATTGATTTCTAGAGTTAAATGGGTTCCTTTATATAGTGCTAGATATTCGACTGTTTAGTTACATTGAATTGTTTAGTTACATTTAGGTGGACTACTACAAGTCCTATACCCGTTTCAATTTTAGATGCACCAGTGTAGATCTGACTACTGTTATACGAACTGTGTATAAGTTTATTAAATAAACTGTTTTAAATAGTATTTGGTGTTTCTTTTTTCAACTGTTCTGTTAAGCTTGTATCAACTGTGTAATTTGGTTATTTTCAAGAAGGTATCTGACTGCTTTCTTGTTGACATACTTTATTAAATGCAATATTGATATCCATCATCTCTTCTTAAACCTAATGGTTTTCTTAGTTTAGAATTGTGTTCATGTATATTGGAAAAGCTTTTTATTTAAAAGGTGAATGGTTGAACTATCAGGTGTAGATTTGATATGAGCTATATAATTAAGTGATAACTTAGTTCTGCAGAGCTGAAGAGGGGGTTCTCCCGTCAAGGGTAACAAACTGATTATCGGGCTGCTTTTGAAATTTTTAAAAATGTTGAGTCTTTTCCATAAAAAATTGAACCATAATCGAGTTTAGATCTTTTTAGCGATCTATATATCTTTAATAATATAGTACCTTCAGCACCCCATTTATAATGACTTAATGTTTTAATGACATTAAGGCTTTTGTGTGCTTTTTTTTTTTGAGTGACATATGAGATTTCCAAGATTGCTTTTTGTCAAAAGTGAGATTCAGTATAAAAATGTTTTCTACAAATGGTAAACAAATGGTACTAAAAAACAGTTTTGGTTTTGTTAATTTTTTTTTATTTGAAAATAAAATGCATTTTGTCTTTTGAGGTGAGAAAATGAAAGTTTTGAAGCACCAATCAAAAAGGTCATTTAGGCACTTTTGGAATATTCCGGTTATTACAGAAATGTGTGTACCACAAATGTATATGTGGGTGTCGCCAGCAAAAATAATTGATTTGATAGGATTTGTGATAATGTTAGAAAAATTATTGATTGCTGTTTGAAGTAAAAAAATGCTGAGGGAAAAACCTTGAGGAACTCCGTTTTCTAATATAAATGTATTTGATATTTGATCTCTAATTTTTACTTGAAAGGATCATTCATTTAGGAAGTTGTTTAGAAAGATTAACATATTTCCATATATGTTCTAATTATTAAATAAATTAATTACTCTTTATCGCCAAACAGTGTCCCATGCCTTTTGTAAATCGAGACTTATGAAGATTATTGATTGTTTGTTGGCAAGAGTTTCTATGACTTTGGTTTCAATTTTTCGTGGCAATCAGTGGTTAAGTGTTGTTTTCTGAAACCATGTTGACATGGTGAAAGGAATTTATATTGAGTAGCATACTTATTTAGTCAATTATAGATGATTTTTTTCTAATAACTTACTCATACTGCAGAATACTGATAAGTATTATTTTGTTACTTAATCAAACACTAATTAATAATTATATTTGTTTATTAGGTATATGTTCTTATATAAATAAAATGAGTCAAATTCTATAACATTTTCATTTTTCACTAATTCATTTGTTTAGGAAATATCTTAGGATCAATAAAAATCAGTACCTTTTGTACAAAAGTGCCTTAAGCTAGTTTTACTATATTAATTTTTTTATTAAAATGTCTTAATTTTATAATAATCTATTATTATTTGTATTGTTTTGATTTATTAAAATATTTTTTAAATATATCAAAATGTAATATAATATATTTTAGTAGGTATACTTTTTGTAGGCAAATTATAGATATTTATTATAACATTTTCTAATTTATTTTATTTCAGAACATCTGTCTAGATTGCATTTGATTTTAAAACCATTTATGTTACGTAGAATAAAGAAGGATGTCGAAAATGAGTTATCTGATAAAATTGAAATTTTGATGTACTGTCCACTTACTTCTCGCCAAAAAATGTTATATTCTGGTAATTTAATAATTTCCATTTTAATTTGATGATTTATAAATATTTTAATATTATTCAATGTTATACTTAAAGCTTTAAGGAAAAAGATTCGTATTGAAGATTTATTACATTCTGCTGGTTCTTACCAATCCTCACCGAATGTCACATCAAATCTTATGAATTTAGTTATGCAATTTCGAAAAGTTTGTATTCATTTGTATTTATGAATTTAACAATATTAGTTTAGTCATGATTATCATTATTTACAATTGGTGTTTTAGGTTTGTAATCATCCAGAATTATTTGAAAGAAGAGAAGCTAGATCACCTTTTTATTTTCATCCTACAGAATTTATAGTTCCTAAACTTATTTATTTTGATAATTCAGTTAGATATAATTTTTTGAAGAAACAACATTTATTTACTAACAAATTTTGTATATATAATGTTGAACATGTCCATCATAGCTGTTTCCCAGTAAATAATGGTAAATAACAATTTATATATAATTATTAATTTTTAAAATTAATTAAAAATTTTATGTGCGAATAGTATAAGTAATTGTAATTAAGTATAGTTTCTTATAATTTTATATTTCTAGATAATTCAAATAGTTGGAATGCGTTTGGTTTCAGTAGACTTTTAAAATTATCAGCTACTGAGCTGTTTCAAATAACCAATGGTGGATTATTTTTTAGGTAATAAATATTTTAAAATAATCTAATAACTAATGCTATTAATTATCAATGTTCTAGATTTATTTATGTTTTAATACATCAAAAAATGAACAATTTGTTTCAAGAAAAAATTTTTTGGGATAAATACAGTATATTTTGGCCATTTGTGAAAAAACATATACCAGAAATATTTAAATTTATAACTCCTATTGTAAATACGTGTACTATTTATCATACAACTCATATTCATCACCATATGAATGAAACTATGGAACATAAATTACATCGCATGAAACGAGTATAAACCAAAAGATACTTATAATGTTAAATTTGCCTTTTATAATTTATTTTATGAAATTTAGGTAAATTCTGATATGAATATAACAATGGACAATATAATTCTTGAAAATAAAACAATGGAGAACTACAATCCTAGACCATCAAAAATATATGAATACCAACCAACACAACTACCATCATTTATGTATTTTTACTACCCAAAAGTTACTACTAAAGGTCGTCAATTATGGGTTCCTGGTAGTAGATCGGCTGCATATGTTTGGCAACGACATGAAGCTTGCGATTCTAAAGAAGGCCATGATTTAATATATGATGGGGATTCAAATTTTAGTTATAATGAATGGTCATGTGGAAACGTTGGAGGTTTAAATGCTCTGAGAGCTGAAAATGGATGGTTTCACATTAGCATACCTGGTAATTTTTGTTTTTAAATTCACAATGTCAATAATTTCTATGCATTTTTATTTATAGATAAGCAAAGTTTGGTTACTGATTGTGGAAAATTGAAAATTTTGGATAATTTGCTTACCCAACTAAAACAAGAAAACCATCGAGTTCTTATATATTCACAAATGACAAGAATGATTGATATTTTAGAGGTATTTTAACTAAAGTAGTATTAAAATTAATAACTTATTTGTATTCATAATTTATAGGAATATATGTGGTATAAAAAATTAAGGTATATGAGACTTGATGGTTCATCTAAAATATCTGAAAGAAGAGACATGGTTGCTGATTTTCAAAATCGGTAAATAGTATTTATTATTTAAAATGTAATTAAATTATTTTTCTATTTTCATTCTTTTGAATAATAATTGAAACTTTTGGTATAAATTTACAATCCTAAAAAGTATTTATGCAAAAAAAAAAAATAACTTCAAAATTATTATATTCTCTGATCAGCTCAAAATATATGTTAAATAGAAAAATTAATAAATATTTTTATTTTTATATAAATTAAAAAGCTATTTTAAAAATGTTATATTTAGTTGTATTAGTATTTGATATATATTTATGTATGAAATATAAATATAATATGATGTATCATATATATTCAGTATATGATTTTAAATTAAAATAATTTTTTATTTTTAAATTTTTTTTATTATTGTGTAGTTCTGACATTTTCGTATTTTTATTGAGTACAAGAGCTGGAGGACTTGGAATAAATTTAACAGCTGCAGATACTGTAATATTTTATGATAGTGATTGGAATCCTACAGTAGATCAACAAGCTATGGACCGAGCACATCGACTTGGTCAAACTAAACAGGTTAGCTTACATATAAGTATATAATAAGATAAGTAGAAAACATTATGAAATCTTAGACATCAATTGACTATTGTAATAATTTAACTACCTTGGTAATTATATTGTATAATATATAATTGTATTAATGATCTATTCTATTAATTTTTGTACATAGTTTTTATATTTTTCTTCTGTGTAACTGTTAAAATTATTAATTTAATTACTATGATTAATATTTTATTTCATCTCTAAATGGTTAATATAAATTTTAATAATAAATAATTAAAAAAAATTGTTCTAATAATTATTTTTATAATACACTAACACTTAATTTATTTTATATGGTATTTTATTGTAGGTTACAGTGTACAGGCTAATAACTCAGAATTCCATTGAAGAACGAATATTGCAGAGAGCTAAAGAAAAAAGTGAAGTATGTTGTCTTGAACATTTTCTGAATAAATAAAATAATTTCTAAATTTCTAATTGTTTTGGCAATAGATACAAAGAATGGTTATAAGTGGTGGAAACTTAAAACCTGATACTTTAAAACCAAAAGAAGTTGTATCATTACTTTTGGATGATGATGAAATTGAAACAAAGTGTAAGAATTAGAAATAATTTTTAAATAAATGTTAAATAAATTATAAAATCATACTTAGATCGTCAAAAACAAGAAGAAAGAAGGCAATTAGAAGAAACAAGAGCTGAAGGATTTAAAGAAAAAGATCGAAAACGTAAAACAGATGCTAAAGTTGAAAGTTCTCCAAAAATAAGAAAGGGGGAAGAAGGATCAACTATTGATGAATTTGTGCTAAGTCCTCATAGCGAAGTAAATCATTAATATTAAACTTTATTTTTATATTATGATGTAGATATTTTTAATTTTATTCAACTGTAATTTTTAATTCTTTATAAATGCAATTAGGGTAGTTTTGCCTACGAAGAAACTGGTAGTGAAACAACTATTGAAAATGAAGATTCTCCAACCAAATCATCTCCTAGTAAATTAAATAAATTATAATATTCAATAATATAAATATTCAACTATATTTTTAAATTTAATATTTAATTTATTTTAGAAACACCAACTTCAATTAACAAACGTGGTAGAATGGGTCGCAGAAATCGTGCATCATTAACACCTGGTAGTCTTGGTAAATTGAATTATTTATCAGCGCCCCAACTTTAAGCAATTCTATCCTCAATCAATATTTAAATAATTAATTTAATTTAAATATTTTAGTTTTGGGGGATGACATTTCTAGAAAAAAAAGAATTATTTCAACAAAACAAGGTTCTAGTCGTTCAAGACAGAAGACCTCAGTCTCAACTAATGTACCTAAAAAAAGTACACCAAAAAAATCTTAGATATAAATTGTTTGGACAAAATGTTTTACTAAAAATGTTTTTTTTAATTTTGTAGTTTATAAGTGATAGTAATGAATGAATTATTTACCATTTACATGTATATTGTGTATTGTACAACAGTCATACAATGATAGATGTATAATGAAAAAAATTAATGATTAATGTTTAGAATGTTTTAAAATTTTTTTGTAAATATATTTATATATTTATAGATACACTTTTTGTTTTTAAAATCTTTATTAATATTTTTTTCAATTTTACCAATGATTTGTTTAATTGAAAAAATAAAAATTATTCACTATATGTTTTTTATAATTAGACACACATGTATAATTAGTTATGTTAGTGTGACTTACTAAACAACCATAATTTTTAAGAGCTATTGATTTTGGTAAATTTGAGTTAGGCTATTGAATGCCAGTAAATCCTAGAAGAGTTTATCAATAAAGCAAGTAATTAAATTACATTCTTACTACATAATAATAATCAATTTGTTTTCTTATTCTAAGTCATAGTAAATATAAACAAATATACATTTATTTTTTAATGAGGCTGAACAATTTTTGCCTAAAACTGTATTCACTGTATGTACTCATATCGGTAAATTACTAAAGACTTAAATGCAGGGGTAAAATAGTGTTATTAAAACTTTTACTCATTTCACAGTTATTTTAGTGCAATGTAGGTGATAAAAATTTAAATAGCAGATGATAAAAATGATTATTATAACAGCGTAATATAGATGATAAAAATTTTAATAGTAGATAATAAGAATGATTATTACTAAAATAGTGTATTTAGTATTAACATAATCTTAATAAGAGTTAAGCAGATTAGAATTTTTTTTTTAATATGTTTATTCTTTTCCATAAAAATTATAACATTTTAATAATAATTTGACTTAAAATCACATTTGCAATGTTGTTCAGTGAATATGTTAATTTGCTTAGGTACTAATAAACAAGATCTGAGATTTAAAAATGGAGAGATTTTAGGTGGTTAAACTCCATACTTTCCACATTATTACGTATTGGATTTGATTAATAAATTTAAATCATTTTCTAAAGTTAATATTTTAGCTAAATACTATTAATATTAATATACGAAAAATAAAAATTATTAACTATTAGAAAAAGTTGTCAAAATATTTTTATAAAAATAAATCCTAGAAAAAAATGATTATAAATTATTTGATTACATTTAAGTACCTATATATTTTTTTAAGGCTGTTTTGATAGTAGTTAATATAGTTATTTTAAATCTATTTGCAGTTGGAAATTACTCGGTCGAAAATATCGGTAAAAATATATATTTTTATATCACTAAGTACTTATTTACCTAATTATTTGTTTTTTTTTTACATCCAATTATTCTTATAAACGTTTTTGTATAGAAAGTAAGTTTGTTAAAACCATTTATTGAGTTATCTATTGCAAATACATATATATGTATATATATATTAGTATTTTATTCTAAACCGTATAACCTATATCCACAAAAAAATAGTTTAGATCAGGGGTCTCCAAACTTTTTTATTGAAGGACCACAAACAATATCAAATGCTCTTAGCGGGCCAAAAGTTTATTAACATATATAATTTTTAATTTTATAAAAATATAGGTATACAAATATAAGTTAACTTTAAATCTTTTTATAAAATATTGTCTACAATATACTTAAATATAATTGGTATAAATTTAAATGATAATAATATATACATTGTAATTTTAATAATTTTTTTTTTTTTAATGAGAAGTATGAAATTGATGTTTTTCTGCTAATATTCGATCGAATTGAGATTGTATGTTGCTAGTTCCAATTTTCAAAATTGACTCCAAGTGTTTGTCAGTCATGGCCGATCTATATTTTGATTTGATGTATTTCATTTTAGAAAAAGTTTGTTTGCACAAATAAGTTGTAGCAAATACAGATATATATTCAATTGCAAATTTTTTTAAATTTGGATACTCTATATCTAGGAGAAATTTATAAAAATCAACTAAAGTCTCTTCACGATGTTTGATTTTCAGTGCATCATTACTTTGTAAATCAATCATTTCCATTTGAAGGGTAGAAGGTAACTTCTCAATATCACAACTAAACGGGTTTTGAAAAATATTTCTTCCGATTTTACGTCAAGGTCAGAAAAATGTTGTTTAAATTGGATTTTAAGTTCAGAAATTATTTTTTGAGCGAAGTCGACTGGAAATTGTGTTTTTGATTCTGTGTTATATTTATCACAAGTAGAAAAATGAATAAAACAATTTTTTGAAATTTGCGTTTCAAATAAAATAAGTTTTTGCCTAAATGCTTTTACTAATGTGTAAACATCGCAAATTAGAACATCTTTACCTTGTAATTTTAGGTTGAAGTCGTTCATATATTTTGTGATATCCACTAAAAAAGCTAATTTCCAAACCCATTCACTATCTGTAAGTAAAAGCAATGGTCGATTCTTATCAATTAGAAATATTTCAATTTCATTTGTTAGTTCAAAAAATCGCGATAGGATTTTTCCGCGACTAAGCCATCGAACTGCTCTAAAATACGGTATATCTGGGTACTCTGTTTCTATTTCTTTCAAAAAATCTTGAAATTGACGATGCCTAAGTGCGCTCAAGCGAATAAAATTTACTGTTGATATTATTGGATCCATAACACAAGACAAGTCTAAAGTTTTTCCGCATAATGCCTGCTGATGTATAATACAATGCAAAGTCATTGGTTTAAAACCTTCTTTTTCACAATTCGTAAATATCTGTCCAATTAAACCTTTTTTTGTGCCACACATATTTCTTCCGCCATCAGTAGTGATACATTTCAAATTTTCCCACTTCAAATTATATTCTAAAAATGATTTTTCGATAACTTTAAATATGTCGATACTTGTCGTAGTTATGTACATGCTATGTACAGAAAGTAGTTCATTTGAAATTTCTAAATCTTTATTAACACCTCGAATAAATAAAAGTAACTGTGACGTATCAGATACATCTGTTGATTCGTCAAGTGCTATACAAAACGAAATGAATTCTTGAGTCTTATTACTAACCTGGGAATTTAAATTATTACTAATATCGTCAATTCTACGGGTAACTGTGTTAGCAGAAAGGTTAATATTTTTAAAAGTATCAATTCTTTCTGGACAAATTTCTTCAACTGCTTAAATTATACATTCTTTTCTTAAACTACCATCAGAAAACGCTTTTCCTCTTTTTGCCAATAGATGTGTAATACGAAAACTAGCCTTTGTACAGCTTCATTAATATTTTATAGTTTTTTAAATAATAATTGTTGTGATGAAAAATTATTTTGAAGTGACTGCAATTTATCTAACCGTAATTTCTCAGTAAATTTTGAAAAAGTTGTCTTCTGTTTCGTTTCATAATGCCTTCGAATATTGTACTCCTTAAGTACAGAAATACTTTCTTTGCATATTAAACAAATTATTTTGTCACCTGAATAAATTACGAAATAATCCAACGACCACTTTTCATTGAAAACACGACATTCTGAATCTATTTCCTTTTCAATCCTCTTCCTGACATGTCGAATTGGTGAATTAATAGGTAAAGAATAATATTTATAATAAAGGCACTGCAAACTTAGACATGTAACTGTACAAACGTTATGAAATAATTTCGTCGTACCGCTCGTCTATGTGACTAATCTCTCCGTTATCAACGTTAAAACTAAAAATATAAAAGGAAATTGCAATGTCTGTCGTCATAAATTATGATACGTGCCCGCGATAACGACTTTTTAAATTACACATATATTTAGATATCTATATTTTATTTATCGTCTTATGGGTGCTGCGGGCCGTTTAAAACGTGTTCGCGGGCCGTAGTTTGGAGACCCCTGGTTTAGATAAAAGATTAAAGAAATTTAATTGTTTTCTGTTTCTATTTATAAATATGCTATAAGCACGATAATTTTTTTTATAAATGTATAAGTCACATCGTAATGCACGAATTCTAATGTACCTCGTGACCTACGATGTCTTTTTACCGAGAAAAAATGTATCAATCGAAAAAAAAAAAGAGTACACAAACAAATGATTTCTATGGGAGTTTACGTGAATCGAAAACAATGTTATATACCAATCACGTGATCTATAATTAAACATCATGCTATGTCGAGAAGTCAGAATATAATACCACAGATTAGTGATTGTAATTCAAAGTACATGGGTCATAATGTAAACTTTTGATGTTGATTTTATACTGGTATGTATCAAATGTAATGTATGAATACACCCTGTGAAGTTTACGATTTTTCTTATGTATTTGATGTTAATAACGTTGAAAAATTAATAAACAATATATTGTTGACGCTTCAATGATCAAATATAATATCCATATTAAGGAAAAATATTTTTACGTAAGTTATGTAAAATAGAAAAATATATCATACGAGTATTAGGGCGTCCCAGAAAACATTTTTGGCTTCACGAAAAAAAATGCTAGGGGCCTGTAAAAAATTCTGTTCCGGGCCCTGCAAAACTTTCCACTGATTTTCATATGGGTATACAGAATAAAAAATAAAATACGTGACTACATTTTATACACCGTGAGTCCTCAAATCATTCGTTTGAACATGATATTCTCGATAAAATATGCAGATCGTATTGTAACGATTAATCATTTATTTTCATTCCGTTACAATTTCTTTAACCTAATTATTTACAATCTCACATTAAATATAGTTATAGGTACATTTTAAAGGGTTTGGTAAATTGAGTCTCATTTTATTAATTTTAGATAAACTGAGTCCCACCCAAAAAAAAAAAAGGTAAATTGAGTTCCTCATATAAAAATGAAATCGGTAAATTGAGTTCCTTGTATAAAAATTAAAGTGGTAATTTGAAATATGGTGAAATACCGTTTTTTTTTATTAAACACACTTTTAATTATATTAACACAATTGTATACTACGTACCACATTAAACTTACATTTATTAGTTATCACTAGGACCCGGATTTCAATGCAAAGTGCATATTTTTTTGGTTGATCATACACAATGCTCTCTAAGAATATAATTCGTTTCATGTAACGAGGGTTTCAAAACTATAAATTTTATTTTGCATTTTTAGAGCATTTTCAGTATTATTGGGTAATTTTTTTGATTTTTAATGCATATTTGTTCAGTGTACTAAACTCTTATGATTTTATTAGGAAAAATCGAATACTTCAAATGCCTATAAGTTGCTTAAAAATCAGTATAATATTTTGAAAAAAATACGCTTAAAGGAAATGCCAAACTTAATAACTAGTAAAAGTTTCGAGTTTCTGCGATTTTCATTTTTGAATAATAACAAATATTTAAAGTCGTTTGAGAATAAATTGTTATTTTATGCGATTTCGTAAAAATTTAAATTTCAAACGGTCATACAAATTTTTCCTTAAAGTCCGGTAGACATTTTTTCAAAGTTATTAGAAGAATAACTTATAAATAACTTTGTGTTAAAATTGTACACCTTAAGTATAAATAGAAAAAAAATTTATGAATTTTTAACTACAAAATAACGTGCAAATTATTGTTATTTTGACTTGTTTCATACAAATTTGGACTTTATAGGCTTCTAAAAAAATTTGTGTGAAATGATTTCCAATTTTTTTTTAGTTTCGATAAGTATAATTTATAATAAACCTTGTATTAAGTTTTCAAAAGTTTTCTTACAGCCAAATTTTTTTTATCGGTATTTAAAAAAAAAAAAAAACTTGGAAAATTGAAAATTTAAATTGTCTATTAATAAGGCAAAATATGTCATAACACTTTGAAAACTTAACCACGTATAAAAGACACTAATATAAAAATTTGGTGAAAATTTCAAGTGTTTGCGTTTTTTGGTTTTTGAGTTAGAGCAAATTCAAAAAACCGATATGATTTGTCAGTCTGATTCTTATTAAAATGTTCAACTTCAGGCATCAAACTTAATAAAAACATCTTGAGAGCTTCTTTGTTTTAACTGTTGTAAGAATTAGTAACTAAATTTTGCTTCCAATCTTGTCTTTTTAGCTTTAAAGTATTCAGCCACACAATTATCTGCTTCCCCTGCCGATTTATTTTTGAACTTCAGGTTTTTTCTTATTTCTAGACGACGAGAACTGTTTTTCAGGATGATTGATTTGTTGCGATAGTACTGGTGATGCTGGTGATGCGGAAGGTGATAGGAGTGGTGCTTCTAATGTTGGTGATGTTGGAAGTGGTGACGGTTGTAGTTCAGAGTACGATGAGTTTGTCAGACTATTACATATTTCTGTATTTTCTATCGTTTCATCAGTCGTTTCGTCCTGCGGTTTCTCCGGAAGATTACCAGTGGACGGCGGAATCAGCGTTTTTTATAAATGGGACAGAAAACTGTATGGCATCTGCTAAATAGTATGCTTTTTTTTTCTACCAGATCCACTTGCCGGAATTTTCATTTTTCGTGTAAAAACAGTACGAAGACTACGCCATTTTTCTTTACACTCGGCCACTAAAATCAATGTAATAAAAAGAATAAATAACAAATAAAAAAAACCGGGAACTCGCTCTGTTGTTTAGTAGCTATCGAGTGAAATGAGTAAATGAGTAATATAAGTAGTATAAGTAGGATTTTCGACCACTGGGACTCACTATCCCTTAGAACAGTGTGATCCGTATGGTCGCGGTTACTGGTTAGATACTTGCTCCGGTCCCTAACTAAATTATTTACAGTAATTACACAGTTTGCACAGTTTCACAAAGAAAAGTTTTAAATGGTCCCATACGATGTCGAAAAGTAGAAGCAGTGAATGACATTATTAAAGCGGTTTGCATGCTACATAATTTTGTACGTAAACGAGAGGGTATCGTCTATAGACCCATAGACACGCAAGAAGATCATGAAATAGCCGTAGTACCTGTAGACACAATAATACCAAGACAGGTAATAATAAATGAAACATCATCAGCGAATGCTATTAGAAATTATTTATCCAATTATTTTCTTTCTCCTTGTGCATTTCTATCATGGCAATGGAAATACACTGTATCAGAAATAAGAAATACGATACGCTATGATACAATAACATGATTATTATTATTATGTAATTATACTTATAATTATAATTTATAAATAAAATCAAAATACAATGTAGCACAATAGTATATAAACAGCTAGTATATTATGTTATTTTATGGTATTTTTAGTCACTTTATTATTAATATAGCTTATAGGATAAAAATAAATACAATTCATATTGGGTAATATTATTTTTAGAACAGTTGAAACGTAATAATATACATTGAAATATTATTCAAAATACTGCATTATACAATAAAGCATAATAAATTATAAAAATTAATATTTTTATTTAATTTAAACATTAGATTATAATGCATTATTTAAAATTTTTAAAAAGTTAGGTACATACCTATATTAATTACTTTTTTTTAAATACCTGTCATGTTTACTTTGGCTGCTATTTCATGCCATGCTTTTTCTGTCAGGTCTTTTCTTGAGTATCCAGGAAGATTATAATTGTACAAAAGTTCGTGTTTTTCTACCTCCTCGATGAATTTAATGTTTGCTAACTGCTCACTCATGGTGAATGAATTTTCAGTTTATCAAAATATGATATTCAGGTATTATATAATAATTATAATAATAAACAAAGACGCATTTGAAGGGGGGCGAAGGGGGAATTAACCACCTTGGATGGAACATTTTGGTTCGATACTAAATATTTTTATCAGTTATATATTTGTACTGCATGGTTTTCAAATTTGTATATATATGTCTTTGGTATATGCATTGCTTCTCAATAAAAGTACATCGACTTATGAAAGTTTCATCACTAGTTATGTGAAGCATATTTGATCGAAGGTTTCGTAATTAACCCAAATGTATTTGTAATTGATTTTGAGATTGGAATACACGAAGCGGTTAGCAGTACATGGTATTCAATGTTGTAATTTTCATTTCGATCAAGCGTGGTTTAGAAAATTACAAAATTTGGGCCCATCTAAACTTCATATTGAAGGAGACTCAGACGAAGAAAAATTTTTAAGTAATATTTTTGGTCTTCCATTCCTCAAATCTGATGAAGTCGAAGATTCATTTGTTTTTGATTTAATTGCAGATATGCCATCTAGTGATAAAATAATAGAATTTTGGGATTATTTAACAGAAACATATATGCAAGAAGTATTCCCCTCTATTTTATAGGCATTTCAAATTAGAAATTATAACGAATAATGTGTGCGAACAGAGACGTATTTAGGAGGGGGGTGAGCGGGTACCATCGCCCCGGGCGGCACATTTTTTTGGAATCAAAGGGTGGCAGCATTTTTTTGTAACCATCATCTATTTTTATTCGTCAATCGAAAAATTTTAATGTTTTAAGATTTTGCGCAATGATCACATGGCGATTTTTATTTTCATGATAATATTATCAATAGTTGATCGTGTAAAATTCATAGGTAATAAATATTACTAATATTAAGTTACTAATATTACTATTATTAAATATTAAGTTGACACATATATAAAAATTAAAAGTGCAGGAGAAGGTGAAGTACAACAAAGAAATAAAATAATAACACAAAAATAAAAAATTATAAACGAACAGCGACAAATGAAAGATGGACGAATTAGTTATCTTTTATATCGACTGCCGCCTTAAAATCACACTCTTAGGACTACATTAAGTTTATATGAATACATTTTATATACTGATTCAAACCATTTTGTTTTAATCTATTATAGTAACTCAGATTTTGAATAATTTGTTTTAATTTTTTATAACAAGGCCAAGGTTAATGGTGATACCCGTGTTACAGATAGTAAATATTTGAGTTTAAAATGCAAACACTATTGTTGCTTCTAAATTTACTTTTAATAAATATAAAATTTCAATAATAATCAATTCACCCCACTTAGTATCCTCTACTATAATATTAATCTCAACCGTTTTCACAGATGTCAAGAAAATCTGTAGCCTCAAAGTAACTAAATGTATTTAAAAATTAATAAATATAAAACTATAAGCCGGTATATTTTTTTAGATAACTATCAGGAATCTAAATTAAGTAACGATATAAAAGCTATCGAAGAGTATAAGTTTAAGGATTTTGAAATTATAAACCAATGACTACACGCAATTTAATAATAATCAGCCACTTATTAATACTATATAAGATATATTTATTACTAAAGTAGAATTTCGTAAATTCACATTGTAATAGATTTTAAAAAGTTTCCAATAAATTTTAATTTACTCAACGTGAAACTCTGTACCATCAGAATATGTTAAATATGTTATATTTTAATATCTTATTAATTATAGCTGAGAATATGACATTATTATTATTATTTAAGATAGCCAATAAGTTTTTAATGTTTAGCATCTTAAAAACAATGAACTTGAGTTTTGAGATGAATATCATTCTTGGGGTTTAATTTGTTTACATAATTAAGTGTGACTTTTGCCACTAAACATAATTTCTAACACATTATTATTACTAATTATTACTCTGGCTTATATACAGTTAAGTAGTAATAAACAACTAATTTCTATATTTTTTTATTTTTATCGATTGTTCATTATTTTGAATTGTATTATAAAATTAAGAGGTACATAATGATTATTTGAAAATAATTTAATTCGATAGATTTATTAATTAATTTTAACAATATAACACGTGTACTACTTGAAACTTATTTAACGTCTATAAAATATTGTTATAGACATACACACAGTATAGACTGCAGATTTATATTTACTGAACAATATTTAAACTACAAGGGAAAATCTTCTTTTAGTATTCTTACGTGCATATTATATCAGGGAATACTTATCAGTAAAATATTTTATTGTTTGAATATTTTAATGTTAAAACTCAAAAAAGACAATTTTACTTTAATAAAAGCCAAATGAAATAAATAAAAAATCTGAGAGGCACACGCGCGCGTTCGCGTATACATAAAATACACATAGATACAATAATAACATACACACACACAGATATAAACATATACGTAAATAATATGTGCATATACACAAAGTCAATTGTACAAAACGATGTACCATTGGTGTTATTGTCATGGGATTAGCTGGCGAGTTAAAGTCAATGTTAATCGAATTCCACGAAACACGACCCTTCCTTACGGTAAAGATTTTTTTCTTAAATTTATGGACACAATAATCAGGTATCACACTGTCAAACGTTTCGGTATAATTTTCAAAATGGACCAAAAATATTTGGTTTATTATTTCGATTGATTTTATCACCTGTGAAATACTGTACTATATATACTACCCTACTGAAAAATTGGTTCGATTTTTCAGTTTTTTTTTTTAAAAAAAAAAGATAAAATATTAGAAAACAGTCTCATAATTGTTTATTACAGACTTAAAAAACTAGATAAATATGTATTAAAATAAGCTATATGAAACATTAATATAGTCGACGCAAGGACAAACAATTTAGTGGGTAAATGCCAATTTAAGCAAATATATTATTGTCACGTGTATAATATATCTACAACAATTTAAATTCATTAGGCTACTTGGCATGTGTAAATACAAGTTTGCTAAACTCAAAATTAATAAAAGTCATAATATAAAATATTAATACAAACGTGTATTTTTAATATTCGTACAGTTACATTAAATTAAATATTATATAATTATATATATACATATATAAATAGGTAGAACGTGTAAATTTCCTCATCATCGTTGCCTATTGACAGTTTTCATCCTTTTATCGACATGATTGACTATTTTTATAGGTAAGGCGAAGAAATTTAAATGCGTTTTATTTATTAATTTATACAATTCTGCAGTAAATACATTAAAAAAGGATTAACACTAATAATTAATAACGTTAGAATGGCTATTTAAAATTAACATTAACTTAGGATACATTTTTTATAAAAAAAATTTCACGACGAAGTGCAATAATACTCGATACAAATTGAATTAATGTCATTTTAAATTCGGCGCCATAAAGAAATCGTTTCCAAGTTGGCACGTGGCAACTGCGTATCAGCTAAGTTGGTGGCTATCCATTATAGTATAATTTAGTTTGTTTTGGTCAAACTCTGAATATAGGATGTGTCTTGGAGTGTTGGCAGTGTTTTCGCGGATGGTTTACTGCACTAGCATTATAAATACGTCTTAAAAATCATTATAAATCCGAGTTCGGATGATATTATTGTACAGGAACTTATGCGCAGTAGTAAGGTGTTCAATGTTTTTATTAATATATAATATAATAAAAAGCCAAACGACCATAACAAATATGATGAAAAAATACAAATGTATTTTTCCCATTACACATCGGTTCGCGGGGGTAGTAGACAGCTGAGATGAGTGAGCCGAGGATAAGAATAGTTGATAAGACCGTCAGCGTATATGCACATACTGCACTGCACAGCTATACACGCATCGGGGACCTTTTTGCCGCAGCTGGTGCTCGCGGTCTGAGTCCTTTTCACAAACAGCTGGCTCTCAAGAAAACCGTGAGAACTCTACAACAATAAAAAGGATATATTCACACAGGGCGTTTTTCCCACTTCTACGTATAGGTATACGTCTCGTTAGTACAGTTTTCCATTTTCCTCGTCGAATACATTGTTTCCGCAATTCGTAGTTATGTAAACATTTATTATCAGTGTTAAATAGCTAATTTAATTATATGCTTAATCAAACTATAAGCATAAAAATTTAATACCTTTTTATATATTAATATTAAATATCATTAATATATATTCTAAAGGTATTGTTGCGTAAAAAATTTGTCTAATCGAAGCATAAACTATAGGTACTTTTTTTTCTTAAATAAGATCATTTTTTAAAAGATTAATACCAATAAGTTCAGGTATTAATTGACTTTCTTCTGATAGATGATTGATAATGTAAATAGTAATTACATAAAAATTGAATAAGTGAAAGTGGGGTGGTCATTGTTTCCGTCAAAAAACTTGATTTTCGTTTCCGCCAAATCTATTTCTACTTATATTATTGTGGTAGCGTTTGAGAACCCCTTGTTTATCTGCAGTTCTATCGATTATCGATATACATCGAGATTCGGAATAAGCCATCATTTTATATTGAAGATATATAAGAGATAATTGATTTTACGATTAATAATATCCACGCATTATAAATAAATATAAATCGAACTACATAATATTATAAGTTATAACCTATATTATGCGTAGTTAGTGTCTGTGTTATCGGGATTGGAGTTCTGTGATTAAATATGTCAGTACTGTGACAACATAGTAATGTGAATCGTGAATATTATTCACTGAATAATATACGTATTTATTGAATATATTAGAATTTAAATTTATATATATATATTATAAATTATTCTGTAAGATGTAATATACGAGTAAAAAAACGATTATTAAATACAACAAACGCAATAAAAGAATATAAAAATAAAAAATTTCAAGAATAACGTTTTTAAAAAAGTATGCAACAATTATTTGAAATAATAAATAATAAATAATTAATAAAATTATAAGAATTATTTGACTTTATATATATATATATATATATATATATATATATATATATATATTTACAAAT